CATTGCCCTCCCGTTCCGAACAATCATACGCCTTGCAGCTAGACCTGAACAGCTCTTCGCCTGCCTTCATCCTGGGTCGCCAGGAATTTCAAAAAGCAAGTGAGGATTCCAGGAAGGAAATGCAGCAGGCACTGCATTTTCATGCCGCATCTGGGGTGTGACATGTCCAGCCCGCTCTTCTTGCAGCATTTTTTGTCAATTATTGAGCAGCACGCACAAGGAACTTGCCAGCCACATGCTTGATCAAATCTTGATGGCTAATCTGGGTATTAACGGTGTAACGGTGCGTGGCAAATGAGTTGCTGGTGACTTGGCGCCTTCAGGAGATGAACAAGCAGCTGCAAGAGGTTGCAGAGCAGCAGACTGAGCTGCAGGACAAGCTGCCAGCTGACGATGCGTTTGGTATTGGCTTTCGAAAGTTTCATTTGCTCAGGGCATGGTCTGCTATTCCCACGGCAGGAAATGCGAATGCAGAAGATGCGGAAGCAGGCAGTGAGCGCAATTGGATTCTAGCCTTCACTGCACGTAGCATTTTCATGCGTCGGATTCTAAGTTGCATTCAGTTGCCAAGTTTGATCGTTGCCTCACGAGCGGCTGTTGCCTGTAGCCATGAAATGCGTGAGTGACGCTGATGCGAGCTTGCTGCTACAGAAGATACTCATAACATCAGCACATCATGTCTTGTTTCATCGTTTCTGAAGATGTCGGCTTTGTTTTGCGCCCAAGCAATAATGTCACGATGGGCCCTGGTAGTCGAGGTCACACTCCTGACTGCGAGTTCTGAGAGACCTGACAAGCTTTCCCATAGGATTGCAAGTCCGAGCATGCCATGGTTTCCAACGACTCGCTGGAAAGGGCGGAGCGACGGCTCTCCGTTCCTGCAGTGCTGGGCCGCCGCACAGCTTATCGATTTTCAGCGAGAAGCCGCATGCAGCATCCTTGCAGCCTGACCCAGGATTCCATCGGCCACCGCGAACACTCCAGGAAAGCGGCAAGCATAAAAGTATAAATGACGCCAAGAGGGGATTTCTGCGTGCGTGACAGGATGACTACAATCTGGAGGACAAGGCCGGGTGTCCTCTCATCATGTTCGAGCACCAAACGGCTATCCGAGAAGGATTTGAGTAGGTACAGCTTCGAGCAGGTACTTGGTACCGGCTGCAGCGGCCAAGTGCTGCAGGCCTCCAGTCGCACCAGTGGGCAAAGCGTAGCCGTGAAAACCTTGAGCCTCGTGGGCATCACAGAGAAGGCGAGAATCTCAAAGCCTTCTGCACACGCTGAAGACAACAAGCGCTTTTGCCGAGGCGCGCCGCGAACTTGAGAACGAAGTTGCCCCTGAGATGCACAGAGGCCGACTAGCTTGCAGGCATGAGCTCGCACATCTTTCAGATGCAGGCAGCATCAGTTGCAGCAATGCGCTTGAAGCCATCCACGCAACTTGTGCACGCAGCTAGAGCCCGAGGAGCTATTCCTAAGCATGGATCATCCCAGAGTTGCTCGCCTACTAGATGTTTATCAGGCCAGGCAGAGCTTGCAAAGGTGTGGCAGCGTGGCATCCAAATTGATTCCATTCTATGGCTGATGTATCTGATGTTTCCTGGAAGGCTGAGGGTCGGATGAGCTTGGTCATGGAGTGCATGGAAGGCTAGGCTGCTAGGCAGTCTGTTGTCACGTGCTCTGGTACTCTCTGAAGAGCTTGAGCTGGGCCGCATTTGCAGCCTCGCGTGGTATACGCGCAGCAAAGAAATACTTAAGCGCCGGGGCCAAGTTCGAGCCAGTTGGAAGGCCTTGGCCAAAGCTTCTACGGCCCTTCCAGCTGCCCTTCCAGATAATATGAAAAAACATGGTCGGAAGGGTTTAGCTGAAGAGGCCAGTAGCGAATAGCGAACACAAGCGGGGACTGGATTGAATGAACTCTGGCCTTGACTGACTGGGCTCAGTGGGACAGAAATTTCTAGGGATTGGTGTCTGATTGACAGGTGGCGAACTCTTCAGCCGAGTCATGGATCGGGAGGCTGAGAGCTGGGCTCGTCCAGGGGCTTCTGGCCACCAAGCATTCTTCTAGACACCTCAGTCCTGGGTTATAGCCGAGGAGTAACCCTGATAGGTGTTTCCAGAAAAGGAGGCGGCCCACACTGCGTGGCAGATGCTCTTGGCGCTGCTGCCTGCCTTCAGTCATGGCATACTTTGTCACGTCTGTGGGAAGTCCAATAGCTGATGCAATGAGAAAAACACAGCTTGGATGGCACAGTGCATCACATATGGTAGAAGGAGACACAAGTTCAAACTGTCTTACGGAGACGGGAAATCTTGGCTGTCGAAAAGGAGGGTTTCACCGGTGGGCCGTACTGTGAATGTACTGAACAGTTATCATCAGTTCCTGCGTCAGCTATCAGATGAATGTTGAGGCGCTCATGGCCACTTTGTCGGCGGCTTCTGTTTGTGAATCTCCTTCCACCACCTACCTCAAATTACATATGATGTGTCTGCCGTGTGTCCTTGCCCATTGCAGATGGTGTGGTTTATTTGAGAGAGACATGCCAAGATGACTCTGCATTTCCTGTTGCGTTTATCCACCGCTGTGAGGAACTACATTCACAGTCATGGCATCGTCCATCGAGATTCTAGGCTGTCAGTTGGCCCAACAAGCTAGAGCTGAGACGAATTTGGACAGCTCCAATAACGCCTGGTCCTGAGGACATCAAGTTGGAGAACTTCATGTACGCACGAAAGGACGGGTCCTGAGCTTGCTACAGTGCTCTACCTGACCAAACTGAAGAGGACACCGATCACCTCAAGCTCATCGACTTTGGGCTCAGCGACTTGGACTTAAACGAAACCCTTTACCTGTGTGGTTTCACGCTGACGTCCTGACTTATGCTTCACATGCTCTGCGTCCTGCCAGGCAAAGTCTGGGAGCCAAACACGAAGATGGAGGCACTGGAGAGTTTCCACGGAACAATTGGACACGGGAGCTTGTACGCCCTCCTTTCTGAAACATGCAGCAGCTACTAGAAGCAAAGCTGAAGAAGGAGAACTTGGCAAAGCTCAAATCAAATGTCCCAAGATGCTTCAAAAGGCTAAAGGGTTGATTTACATTGCCGTCAGCCTCGAAGAGCATCTGTTGGAGGCCAGCTGCGGCACGCTGGGCTACATAGCACCCGAGGTGTCAGCAGAGCCAGCGAACCATGCGGCGCCATGGATTTGTGGATTTTTGAAGCCACCATGCTTCAATGCTTCCAGGTGCTGAACAAGACCTACAGCTCCAAGTGTGACCTGTGGCAGCCTGAGTTTGAAGTCCACTCGCCCATTGAAGGCGTCTACGACTAAAGGACACATGCCACTGTGCCCTCTTGCTTAGTAGGGCTTCATGGCGTACCAATATTATGAAACGAGCCGGCTGTTGAAGCTCCCTTGAGCAAAACCGAACGCTGACGCTTAGGTGGTCTCTTGGTGTCATCGTGTACATCCTCCTATCTGGATGCATGCCTTTTGCTGGCTCTGACACTGGGCTGAAAAGAACACGCCAGCTGTTATGTAGCAGCATCATGAAGCTGCCTTGGAAAGGGCTGAAAAGTTGGACCGGGTGAGTTGCGAGCGTTGGCGAGCGTAAGTGCATCCATGTGGATCGGGCTGCAAAGCTGCTTGGTGGATCGGTGGGTTCATTTAAAAAATCCGATATAAATACCCCAACATCCTCCTTATAGGGGGATGTGCCTATGAGAAGGTGAGCCCCCAGTCTGTGTGGGCTGTGTAGAGCGAGTAAATCCCTAAATGCTACTGTCATCATTGATGTGGAGCAATCTTTATATCCTGTTTGTCCACATGGGGAAGAATTCATCCATCTATCCCGTTGATCAGAAACGCTTGGCTGCTTTAGGTGTCAATTCAAAGTCTTATTCATAAGGCAACTCGCAAGAGTCAGGTAGCCACCCTGCGGTCCTCACAGGGTCATCTGGTCACACAGGGATGCGTTCACTAGCAGTAGCAGTGCTTTTTGACCTCATGAGGCGTACTGAAGACCAACTAAGGAACAGCATCAGATCGTGTGCATCATGTCCGGCATGTACGACATGGAGGACGAGGCTCCACGCGAATGATCTGGCTCAAGACATCTCAAGACAGAAGTGAGACATGACAGTCGCGCTGTCAGGAGTGGACAACTGTGTCTGCAGCGGCCAAAGACTTTGCTCCCCGGCAGTCTGCGGCATTCTTGATTTGCCCATGGGCGTTCTTCAGCAAACGCTATAGCATTCAAGGTCAGGAAGCTGCTGGTGGTGGATGCTGCAAAGCGTATGAGCGCTGACGAAGCCCTAGGGCACTCCTGGATCAAGGCATCGGCACACACTTTACAACGCTCGAGCTTGACTTGGGAAGCAGTCCCGCTGTTTCGTGCTTGTGCAGACTTGATTGTTTGTCGACCCACGGCAACTTGTAGACCTGCAGTGCTAAACCCCAAAACAAACTAGTTCAGGACTGTGTGATGGGCTTGGCAGGATCGCGAGCGTATGCTGTCTGAGAGCTGCCGCGTGGACCGTTCTGTTGTTGATGCTCTGAGGCCTGGGGGCCTGGAGTGGATGGAGTAGGAAGGTGTAGGGTCCTAGGGACCTTCTCCATTTTGCTGTTCACCTTCTTGCTGCTGGTGCATGAAGCTTTGATCATGAAATCATCTTGGAACGTCTGCAGGAAGTTCGAGCAAGCCTCAAAGTTCAGGCGTGCCTGTGACCCGGCTGTTGTGAGTCCCTGCCACTCTTTCGAAGATTTTGAAGTGGACGTAAACTGGCTGAAGACCAGCCAAGCAGTGGGGTAGGAGCACTGCATTCCAGTCGTCGCGGAAAGCCACTTGGAAGAGCAGGGGATCTGTAGCAAAGGAGAAGTGTGAAAACACGTTTATGTTCAGCAATGAGCGTGCGATCCACAGCTTCAGGCAAGTCTGACACGTAAAGTGAGGGTAGGCCTGCAGCCAACCTCCAAGTGCTCACCACACTTATTTGGATGCCATCTACTTCATATTGCAAACTCGCAGCCCAAAAGGAGCAGCTGTCACAAGGGAGCTTTGAGGTGTCACTGACAACTTCAGGTATGTCCGTAATGGCGTGGTCGCTCACCCACGAGGAGCGTAAGTCGGCTTCCCGCCTTCACTGTCTCAAAGCAGATTGCAGGAATGGCCTCTACACAGAATTGCTGTGGCACTGCTGTGACGATGAGGTTGTAGATGCGTTCCTGGAGCTCGACACATCGCGAAGAGGAACTATCCGACTTCACGAAATGCGAGACATTCTGAGCCAATTCGTACCTTGTCTCCTTCAGATCTCAAGAAGCCTCGCCTTGAGGGCACCGGGCTGGTCACGGGTTGAGTCCATCAGAGCGCCACATGTCCTGCTGCATGAAAAAATCTGTTGAAAGCATACCATCTACCTGCAGTGAAAGCCTGCATGCACATTGACATTCTTGCATGATTGCTGATATTGTTTACGCACTGCAAGGACATCCCGGACCAGGCAACTTGGACCTTTAACAGTGCTTGGAACTGATGCCGAGACATCAGGCACCTCGAAGCCCAAACTATTCAAAGCTGCGCAATGACGAGGAAGTTGCCGAGATTTTCCACGCTTTGGACTCCAGCCACTGCGACGAGGCTTGCTCAGCCTGCATACCAGCAGTGCCTCAACATCCCAACATCTCATCTTGCAGATGCAAAGGGGGTACTGATCGGATGGAACATGTTTGGCCAACAGCTGCTGTGCGTTCATTCTGATAGATTTCTTGTCCAGATCCAGGTGCACTACAGCGAGTTTCTGGCAGCTATGGTCTCATCTCGAATAGCCATGTGCCCTGTTTTGCAAACAGGTTGTCTTTCTGGGGTCCATGGAGCCCGTGTTGCCATGTCGTATACAAGTTTTAATCGATGTTAGTTGCTGCAGCTTTTTCCAGCCCAAGGCACGATCAACTTCTTCGCTCAGCCTTTGCTCGCTTTGATGTCGAGACCGGGCCGCGTAGTTTTCAAATTTCATTGAGGTTGATTGCAGGCGCTAGCTTTTGGATATCTTGGTCATACTCAGGACGGCCACGGGTTCATCTCCCGTGAGAGTCTTCACAAGCTCTTGGGGGACTCCTTTGAGGGTGCTCCTGTTGAGGAGCTGCTTGCTGAGGCTCAGTGCCTTGCTTGTGTCGGCGCAGCAGGTGGGCCATGCTGTGCATGCCAGGTGGATCCTGAGCAGAAGGGCAGAGTGCGTCTTGTCACATTCATTGCACGGTTGGGGCTGCTTCGATGTTTGGAACCACGCTGTAGGCCCTTGTTGGCCCGGTGCTGGAAACGCGAGGTCTTACGAACAATTCGTTGCATACCTACGAAGCGGCAGTGTGCAGGCACGCCTTTTTTTGCTGGATGCTGGCTTCTGACTCTGTGCAGAAAATTGATAGACTAATTTCTGGAAGCACCGGGCATGCAGGAAGATCATATGCATGTGGTGAATTCTGTGATTGACGGTGAGCTCAAGCGCACTGGGGGTACAATGCAGGCCCGAAGCTTGTCCTTGCAGTTTTGCAGATGCAAGGAAGACTTTTAGCGTCAGTGGGAAGACTTCTGCACTGCCCGTAGGATGAGATCACGGGCAGTCCGTCTAAGCTGGCGATCAAGCGCAGACGTCTAGAAGCACAAAATGCTGAGACAACTTCGCCTTAGGTTCACAGTTATTGAAGCTTCAGCCAAAGAAAGCTGGAGGTGTGGCCGAGTTCCATGTTTGTGGCAATGCGTCGGACTTGTCTGGAGCGCACAGCCAGTGCCGGTCGGCCCAAAGAATGGCCGCTTCGGTTCACGACACATGTGCAGACTCCAGTGCACAGGTGTCCTTCGGTTTCTTTTAGATTCAGCGCAGCTGAAAAACATGTAATTTCCGTAGTACGGGAAGTATGTACAAAGCATGCTGGAACACTATGTTGACTGCAGAACTAGCCCCTTTCAGATGCAAGATGATGCGAGACATTGCTCCACTGCCAGGAAGGAAGTCATCACCCGCACTCCGGAGCTGAGTGGCTTGACAAGGTCTACGCTAGTTCTGTGTAAGATTGTCACTGACAGCATTGCGCGCTAGTTCCGTCATCAAATCGCCAAGGACAAGCGATCTGGTGCCAGCTCTGAAGGCCTGGTTGACTCTTACTGTGTCTATACAAATCTATACAAGTTCATACTGTATCCGCAGAATCAAAGTGAGGCACCCATGCTTCTGAACTTGGAGGACGTGGCAGCATTCTTTTCTTGCAACTGCTTTATTCTGGCCTGTAGCACTAAGACCAAGATAGTCATCTGCCAATTCTTTACAGCGAGTAGTGAATCATAGTCAATATTGGTTCCTTCGTGGTTTTGATTCTGGTTGTGGTGGAGAAGCCACCACACGAAGAACATGTTTCTTCTGCTGGCACTTGGGGTTGCAGCACGGCGAGCATAACATGTCCCAATTCTTCTGTATCAGCGCAGATGGGAAGCTCGCTAGTCATGAGTATAAGACTTGGAAAGCTCGTTCTGCTATTCTTGTCAACAGATATGTAAATGTAGAGTCCTCGTTCCCTTTGTCGAGAGGGTACAGTCCATGGTCCTTCTTTTTCGGAATTATAATGATCTGCGGATCCATCGGCTCCACATTTTTTCTGGAAAGGCAGAACAAATGCCTTTGAGTAGTGCCCAAACTGAGCGCTTCTGAAGGACCGTCCGCTCCTGGGCCGACGACGATCCGCCAAGGACTATCAGAGCCGAGCTGCCCAGGCCGCGAGTTCTAAGAGTTCAAAGCAGTTGAGCCCCAACATGCTCCGGGTCGCACATACCCCCCCCCCAAGCAGAAAAAGCTTGCTCGTTTGTTCAAAGCCACCGTTCTGGTCGTATCGCAGGAGCAGCAAGCAAAATTATTACCATCATTCTTTTCCATCATGTGCCTTGCTGCTGCGGGCCATTGCGCTGGAAAGGTCGCACTGCATCAGCGCCGCCGCGAGAAGCCAGCAGCATCCAAGGACCAGCCTGTGAGAGACTGCCTTCATGCAGGCTGCAGAGGTTATCTGCAGGGGCACCTCACGGTGCAAACTGCGCTAGCGCTCGGGAGCGAGAGCCTGCAAAATGTGCTGAACACAGCCATCTTGCTCAATACGTCATGCAGCTGCTGGTCAATGGTGAGCCACTTTCAGAATTCTTCTAAAATCTGATACAGATGCTTCTCGATCATGTTTCGGAGCTTTTGAAGCTCCAGGTGTACTGAGCCACCCAACGTGCACATCGTCATTCTCACGCGAGCAGTTTAGTCTAGGTACGCTCCCTGTCAGCTCATGCGCTGTCTCTTCCTTTGTGCTCCACCGCTGGTGCTTGCGACCGTTGTCGAGCAGCGCACGCAGGGCGTGGGTTGCTAGCCTGAAGTTTCTTCCTAGAGTTCATCCCATCAATCCAAGTGTAGTTAGAATAACAGTTAGAAATTGAAATCTCGGATACAGGTGAAAGAATGCTGCCTCCTTTTCTCAGGGATTGTCAGGTTTTCATTGTGCCCTGTTGCGCTTCAATGCCCAACGGACGGAGCTCAGCTGCTGGGGTCAGAATGACAAAGGCGGGCATCCACAGCAATTCAAGCGGCCGGCAACTCTGCCAAGTTCATTCTGGCAGGCCAGCTCGGGCAGGGCGACACTATGCCACGTCCGACACAGCAGGTACTGCAGCAAGCACTGCTGCTTGTGGCCAATTTCGTGCTTGCGAGGCAGTTGTCCTCCTCGGATCCCAGGCGAGGCCAATGCAGCAAGACATGCTCTTTGAGAGCCTGCCGCTTGCCTGTGCTCCTGAAGCCTGCTGTAGGCAGTGCAGATCAGCAGCGGGGCCTACCACAGCTGCGCGTTGCTGGAGACGGGGCAGGCATGAAGTCAAGATGGTGCCAAATAGTCCTGATGATTGTCCGGATAGGTGAAGTGCTGGGGTGCCAACAATCGTGGTCAACTCGGCTTGGGGGATTCGGCCAATCGTGGAGACGATCCGAAGGTCCTCAGAACAGTTGCCCAAGACTTCTTCCTGCTAGTCCTGCAATTGAGAGCCTCGACCAGTAGGAGATGGGCGACTGGCTCAGCCCCGCATCAAGGCTGCATTTAATGTCCCAACAGGCCTCGGGTTTTGCAGTGCGGCACATGACTTCCAGTGCTCGGTGTCAGCAGATGTTGTGGGCGGCTGCTCTGCAAAGCTTTCTGCCAGGTTTCACTCGGAAACTGCAAAGCCGTCGAGGTGCGAGTGGGCACGGAGCACAGTTGTGCTCGGCTGGAAGACGGTCCCCAGCCTGCACATTCGAATGAGCAAAGCCAGATAAAGCCGGCTTCGGGAGTTTCTTGCCTTGCCACAGCCAAGGTCGAGTGAAATGCTGGGGGGGCAATGGCCAGGGTCAGGCTCTGGAATGTCGGTTGAAGAAGGGGGAAGAGAGAAGAAGCGCCGCCCCTTTTGTGCTGCATTTCCAGGCTCTAACAGGCGGCCCCGCCTCGATCGGCCTTTGGCCATGGGAGCTCGGCGAGGCTTTAGCCCCTTGGCTGGTCAGCACAGCGTCTGACGATGATCATGTAGTTCAGGTGTTCTTTATTGGAGCCTGCTTGGTTTGGTAACGGCAACAGAAGAAGGATCTGTGGAGAGGCGGCCAAGCAGTGGTTTGAAATAGATACCAGAAGTGAAGGCCAGCTATCCGGAATGCTGAAATGTCGAGATTTGGGTTGTTGAGACGAGAGTTGCCACGCCTTGCCAAAGCTAGGTGCCGGAGAGCCTCGGAACCAACCGGCGGGCAATTTCGTTGTTGGCAGGGTCATGGACGCGTGGCATGAATACTATGGCGCTGGGTTGGCAGATGAAGAATACAGCTAGGCCATATAGGCAAATATTCTCCGAAGTTGGCTGTTCTTGTTTCTTTGATTGCAGCAAGGAAAGGAAAGCTAGATGTGTATTCTGATGACCGACGATTTTGTTCATGCACTGATTGTCGGGACGAGGCATACCTGTGCCATCCTTGACGACCAGACATCCAAATGTTGGGGCTCAGGGATGAGCATGATGTGACGTCGACAAGAGCATGCCATGACCTTGGCAAGCCTTAGTTTCACTGCCGCACGGCACGAAATTGGAATACGTGCAAACCATGCTCATAGCAACTCCACGCTTTTATCACCGGACTTCTGCACATGTTGCCGACACAGGTGCCACTGTCACGTTCTTGAACAGCGTCTTTTGATACAGCCTACGTGTCCGCTTGCCAGTTCTTGGTTGGCTCATGGTAGGTTCATCCTGGTAGTGCCAGGGCTTGCGTCATGGGCTGTGTGGGAAGTTGGCAGGCTGATGCCCAGCACGCTCCTTGCTTTCGCCGCTCTACATCTTGGGACTTGCCAAGGCTTGCGCCAGCGCAACATGGCATTCCCATGGCGCCAGATCGTACCGCCCATGACCAATACATCTGGCAGCTGGACACATATCTCTCGCACATTGCCAAGTACCCAGATGCTTGGCAACGCAAAGTGGAGAGTCGACGCAAGAGCTGTTTCTGGGAACGCTCTGGTGGCCTGGGAAAGCGAGCTAAAGCAATAATATGGCACAGCGCTTCACTGCAGTCTGGGTTGACCTGCCTTGCTGAGTGTGACGAGTCCAATGAGTGGCTGCCGATTTCTGTATGGGCCACGCCACAGGTCCAGCTCCGCCTCTGATGTTCTTGTGATAGAATGTGGGTTTAAAGCCGACGCAAATTTTCCGCGGCTCAGCTCCTACGGGCCTATGCGCAGTTGGGTGGGTCTGGGGTCAGCTCTCAAGACCATCCCAGCACTTTTTGTGTAGCCCGAGGATCTTGCAGTCTGCCGAAGCATTCCGGGTTTCAAGTTTGCATTAGCTGAAAGTGCATTCTTTGAAGGCCTTGGATGTGTTACTTCCATTTTGCAGTGTGGTGCCAATACATGGGGGCCGTGGGCTCCTTCATGCGGGCGCGCTTATGCTCCTAGCCGTTCCTAGCCTTTGAAGCTTGCAAAGCTGCAGGGCTCCACCTATTTCCCTTTCCGTTTCTGTTGCTTTGTAGCATGAAAGCTATCCAGCCGCTCCTGGACGCAGCAAGTGTCCAGGCATTTTGCAGGATCAAGCAACAGGACTTCCTCGGAGGCTGGTACGCTAATTGGTCCTTCATTCGGACCTCCAGACCAGAAAGAGCAAAGAAAATTGTGTTCCCTGCGGACGTCATAAGAGCATATAGGAATCACAGAGCTCCCGAAGTGGAGGAGTCCAAAGCGTCGAGTCTGCAGGAATTGCAAGATATGAGAGCTCAGTTGGAGGCTCGCAGGGTCACAGGGTCATAAGCAGTCGCACAGCATGCAACCCTGAGAGTAATGAGAGTTTGTTAGGTGGTGACCGCGGAGCTCACCTCGAGCAAGGAAGCGTTGGCCAAAGTGGGCGCACAGGTGCAGGCAGGCGCATTTGTTTACGTTCGCCCTCTTGGATATTTGGCGAGTGTCTGCATGCAGGCAGAAGCAGAATCAGCCTCGCGTCAAGAAGCAAGCAGCGCGCTGCGGGGCTGCAGCAAGCATGTCCACGACCTTTTCTTGCCAAACCTTTGTGTTGGTCAAGGCTTTGACTGGCATGCTTGACAGTTGGCATTGCGGGAGGAATGCCTAAGTGCAGAGGTTGGCCGAGTCTGCTCTCCAAGATGCTCTGCGGCGCTCAGAGGCAGCTACACAGAACTTTGACCATCTGTTGGCTTGTGGTGCCTGGCAGGCGGCGTGCGACGCTTCCAAGATGGAACTGCAGGCTGTCGTGCATGGTAGAGGTATCGCCATCTCCATTCTTTTTGGCTTGAAGTTGTCGGTGCCAACACGGGAAGTAATCAGAATCACGAGTTCAGTTTGGACTTCACCATGCCCAAATCAGCAACTGTAGTTGTCTGCCGGCTGGTGTCGGCAGGAAATGCAACAACAGAAGGAAGAATCGAGTCAGATGATTCAGGTGGATGCCGGCATGTTTTCAACATTTTTCAACTATGGACGTTGTCATGCATGCTTCTTCCAAAGACTGTTGGTTGATGGGATCTAGTTTTGGTAGCCGTGGATGGCTGAAGGTCCTCAGGTTATCGACCTTTCAGTTGCCAGGAATTGCGAGCTGCTAGCGAAGCCTCTGCGAGAGAGCTGCGGGCCAGTGCCTAATCAGGTTGTTGCAATCCTCATGCTTCGGCTGCGCTCGCCTTCTATCAGATGTTTGTGCTAGCAAGGGGGCAAGATGGGTCAAGCATGCCGCAACGAATGGCCTCCAAAGATCCAGACAACTCAAGTTTACAACAGGACTCTCTCAACAGCAAGGCTTTTTACGAAAGCTCCTCCGCAGCTTTCGTTTGAAGCTGATTTGTCATAATCAAGGGCTGGGGTGTTTGAACCCGGAATCCAGCCGTACGTGGTGGCTTGTGAACGCTTGTGAGGGTGGGGTGGCGTGGGACACAACTGGAGTAGAAACGGATGTCTTCTGATTTTGATTATGCTTTTAGCCGAAGCGGCAGGCGGCGTAGGCACGTCTGCACATCATCAGCCTGGCAGAGCTTCCAGACAACCGACGCAAGGATCCAGGAACAAGATCTGCAAGATGTAAGCGCAGTGACAGAAGGTCGCCACAGACCTAAACAAATTGCAACGGGCCTGGTGGCTTCAGCACGAGGCCATGAGGCAAGTAAGGAAATTGGCAGGTTGGCCACATGACGTTGTCATGCTTGATGATGCCAGGTGCGTGCGACACCTGAAGGAAGGAGGCTGGGCTCTGAACACGTGAAACCTCTCAGACTAGGTGTCTGTCAACAAGGCTTTACAGCGTTAATTGCAGTACGCACGCTAAAAGCTTCGTGACTTCAACTCGCCGTTCTTGTCACCTCTGACAAAGCTAGGCTTGCGGAGCAGCTGCAGGAGGTGCAGGAGGCTGTCACCCGATCTGCTTGCATTGAACCGCTGTAACCTACAACGAACGGCCGTGGTTCTTGCAAGCAGCCTTGTTCGCAATTGAGATAGCCTTCTGATGCGGTCCCACATTCGAAGTGGCCATTGGCAAGACGTGACTCGTAGCGAGTCTTCTTGCCGTGTGTTTCACCGTGGTGGTTGCCGGTGGACATTGCCGGCCAGGCCCTGCGACTGGCCGCAGCAGCTGCCTCTGCGGAATGTGCGGCAGAAGTAGCAGCGGAGGCCCCAACGCTTCGGGCTCTTCCCAAGTTCCTGGTTGCGATGTGAAGTGCCAATGCCTTCTTCCAGTGAGACGATTCGTGCGTCTTGTTTTACGTCTGCTGTGTTTTGGAGGAGGCCCGGGCAGCCTTTGGGATGGAGCAGCTTGCCCAGCTGATGAAGCGACCCCGCATAGACAACTCTGCAGTTGATGCTCGTAGTTTCCTTCGTGGGAACGCAGCTTTGCCATGCACTTCCCGCAAGCTTCTCAGGGAGCTCTGCATGAACTTGAGGACTGCAGCTGGTGATAGACTGCTACATGAAATGCAGGCTCCTTGCCAGCCCCTCGCTCAGGATGAAGTTTTGCAAAGAGGATGCTTTTGCTAGGCTTCCAGGGTCGCAGAAAAAAGCAAAGCAGTTCGTCTCTTTCAGCATAAAGCCCTGAAAATGCAGTTTCAAGCTGACATGTTGCTACCAGAGGACCAGAGCTTCAGACAAAACTGCTTGCCACTTGCCAGGCCCAACACTGCTTGCAACATCTGGGCACAAGCCGCTCAGGCTAGGCCATGCGAAGGTTTGTATTGCACTTGGAAGATCTCTGAAGCGTTGTGCAATCAGACTGCGAGCTCCACATGCGCTTGCACATGGGAGCAGCTGCAGGCCCGCGCAGCGCAGACACTTGGTGAGGCGCCATCTGGCATTCCTTTCCTGTTCCTTTTCGTGCACATCTTGTGATCAGGCACCTGCATCCGGTGACAGCAACGATTGGGCAGAGGCCAACTTCTGGTCGTAAAACGAACTCAGTACAGCGTGAGGGCTGAGGAGTTAGCTGTTTTGTGCTCTGAGCCATTGCCTCTCGGGGCCATTCTTGTAAGATTGCTGTGGCCAGTTGCGCCTCCGCGCCCGGTGCCGGGTGAGTGCTGCTGAGGCTGGGTCTTCGTGGGGAAAGCTTGAAGCTTGTCCTGTGTGCAGTTGCACATATCAAGAGAGTCTCTAGGAAGCTGCATCGTCTTTGTGCACCTGCAAGCTAAGACCTCGCCTGCCCTGCTGAGCGTTCTGAACCAAAAAGGTACGTGCGCAGTCAATGTGCTGCCTAGAAGTGGATTTGCATCTTTTTCATATATGTTGTTCTCACCATGAACTGGGAACTGCTGAGAGACACAATCTGCACAGCATGACAGCAAACGACAAGGGGGTAGACCAGGAACTCCACCCTGCCTTCTTCTCAATTCTTCCATGCTTGCCACCAGCTTCGGAACGCCGTAAGCCGATGTACATCTGGGCTTGCGCTGCTGCCCTTTCCGTATTTCCTCCTTGCGCCATGGCGGCTGCGGCTGATCTTGTAGGCGCGGCAGGTCTATGCAGTCCCTGCAGGGTACTAGCACAGATCATGGTGATGTCAGACTTCAGGCCAGTGCCAGCCCTCGCTGACAAATCTCACGCGAATCTGGGGAATGCTTTTTGGGCGCAATCTGGGCAGGCACCAAGCCGATGGCGATCGTAACTGGGGCAAACACGGGCATCGGATACTACACCGCAGGCTCCTGTTCTGATCTCTGTTGGCAAACGGCGACCAACTGGTAGAAACTTCTCAAAAGCTGCCTTGAACCACTTGCAGTTCTAGGCCAGCTTGCTTCTGCTGGCTAC